GGAAGGGGCTGGACACCGAAATCCTTCCCCAAGGATCAAACGTCACTGCCAGGCGAACCTCGAGGCTTTCCTATGCACAGAATAAACACATCTGTGCTGATTCCTGCTCAGTAAATTGCAGCAGAGACAGCTTTAAATTGCTGCTGTCTGGGTGCAGTTTGCTACCCGAACAGGGGAGCGAGATCAGGTTGTCAGAGATTTTAAAAAAACACTCAGATTTAAGAGGAGTTTAACATACTGTGTTCCTGCCCAGAGCTGTGGGTTTGGAAGGCATTAGAGACAAGTGCACTTGTACATTCCTTTTTGCATGGTGGGAGCCGTGGGGCTGCCTATCTGCAAAAGGGGCACCACGCACATTGAAGTACATCACTCATCTCCTTTGCTGTATTTCCCTGCCTGGAAATATTTCCCAGCCCTTCCCTGTCTGCAGGGGCTGTTTGTCTAAGCTAAATGTGTACAGGGAACAGGATCAGATGGGAGTGTCTCAAAACAGATTTCCATCCGTCTTGGACTTTGGCTTTAACACCTTTTCAACATCTCTGTCTTGTTTGGCCCAGATGGGCTGACTCTGTGTTGAGAGCACAGACAGTTGTACCTCCAGCTGGAGGTGTAACTGTTTACATAATAAAACTGAAGAGCAGGTTCCTACTTCTGACTTGCAGGGACAGTTGGAAATTCAAACCATTGTCAGTGTTTAGACTTGGCCTGGAATGAGAGAGAGGCCTTTGGAGAATATGATAGGGAACAAATGCATTGATTAGCCTGTGAATTTGGATTGATCCTCTGATTCGTGCTGTGGGTTCTGGGAAATCTAAATATAGCTAGCATTTCATGTCCTCCCCTGGAGCTGACAGAAGCGAAAGAGAGTGTGGGTTTTGACAATTGGCTGTTTGCCAGTTTGGTCTGCTGTGCTTCACAGGAGGAAGTGAACGAGCTGCTGTTACACGTCAAGAATTACAGGAAAGAGAAAGCAAGTCGAGAAAATAAACCTTTTTTTAAAAAAAAATACCTGTAAGTGCACAGAAATAAGGATGTGATACTGCCATCTCCCTGCAGCAAAAAGGAAAGGCTTAAAATTCCCAGAGGTCAGTCCCATATTCACCTGGTGCTATAACAGTGATTTCCAGAACCGTCAGCTGTTTATCAAGTTGAGTTACCCTCTAAGTGCTAAGTAAATAAACCTTTCCTCTTTCCATATGATATAAGAAAGATAAACCAGGAGCATCTAAAGCCACATGCTCTGAGCTGTGAACAGGTTTGTTGAAGGCCTCCCAAAAGCTTTGTCACTGCCATTTTCCACTAAAGCAACCACTTCCTAGGTTACCTTGAACTGCATGTTTTTGCAAGCACACAGATTTTATCTAGCCATTTAAAAACAAATACTTCAGATGCAGTTGTGATTGGCTTGGGGAAAGTACAGCAGCAGAGCACTCCAGCCCAGAATTACAGAGTCTCTGGGGTGCACGTGTTGCTCTTTGCTGCTCGATTATGTCAGACCACCCTGCTGTCATTTTTTTCCCTTTGCATTCACCATAAGCTTGGGTATTTTTAGTTCCTTTGTTATGGCGTGTAATACTCATCATTTTGTTCTCAGCAAACTTGGAGCAATTGAGTTAGGAAATCCCTCCATTAAAATGTACGGTGGTTAGTTCCAGTGATCTGATGGTCCAGTTCAAATTACCCCAGTGCAACAACATGTACTTACTACAAACTGCATCCCAAGCCTGTTGGATCCTCATCAAGTTTGGGTGTTACTATGCAGAAGGTCAAATAAGCCAATCTTGCTGTATTTTTCAGCATGCAAGATGAATCATCATTAGTGAATTTTTGCCTGTGCTGAGCCAAGCAGTGTGCTTTAATTTATCTGGACTAGAAAAGAGATCTGAGAAGTCAGCTAAAGGAGCCCATTTCAGGGTTAGGTGGCAAAGGACTTCAGGCCAGACAAAACAGCAAATAGCTGCATGGTTTTTTGAGGGGGAAGTTTGTACAATTGTGCATGTCAATGGAGACACTCTCAGTCATTCTTAGCGTAAAAATATCACAGATCTGTAGTGAAAAGTATTGTTTATGACCTCCATTAATGTGAGAGAACTGAATATCACGTGCAGATGAGAACTCCTTAAAAACCTAAGCAGATGTACTTCTGCCTTTCCCCCTGGGAGCCACAGTGTGGATGTTTGAGCTGCTGTTTGAAGAACATGCATGATAAGCTTGTTTTCACCGCATTACCTTGTATTTTCACATCTTGTTTTATCATTGGCACTCTTATAAGCTTTCAGCCTCTGAAAGTTCAGGCTGTGAGGATGCAGGTGAGCAGCAGCAACACCTTCCCTTGGTGTGTGTGCAGAGCTCCCTTAGACTGGTAGGATAGTTGCTGGGTGAGTCATGCAGATCACTCTGGAGCTGCTTCTGGGCAGCGCTGTGCTCTGCATGACGAGTGGGCTCTGAGGGTCACATTGTTTCCTGAATGATGTAACCAAAAATTCCCTTTCCTGTGCTTTGCTGATCAGTTCTCTCTTTGTTCTCGAGGCATCCCAGCAGCTGCAGATCTCATCCTTTCTTCCCGCGGATCTCTGCGAAGACAAGTTATGTCAACAGCGACTTTAATTAATTTGGTACGGAATGGAGGGTACCAAGTGAGGAGGAGAGCTGTGCTGACGTCTCGGCTCCTGCAAGAGGAGAAACGAGCCACAGCTGCCTGGTACAGCTCCAGCTCGGAGCCCCGTGCGTCGCGCTTCGACCCCGATGGCAGCGGCCGACCTGCCACCTGGGACAGCTTTGGCATCTGGGACAATCGCATTGATGAGCCCATCCTCCTCCCACCCAGCATAAAGTATGGCAAGCCAATTCCCAAAATCAGCCTGGCCAGGGTGGGCTGTGCCAGCCACATCGGGAAGCGGAAGGAGAACGAGGACCGGTTTGACTACGCGCAGCTGACGGAGGATGTGCTCTACTTCGCGGTGTACGATGGGCACGGTGGGGCAGCAGCGGCAGAGTTCTGTGATAAGTACATGGAAAAGTATATTAAGTAAGTGCAGAGCAAATGGAAGGGTGTCTAATGACAGCAGAGATTCCTTTCTCAGGACTGAAAGGGGGTCTGTGGGTTGTATGTTGTTGCTCATCCTCCTGGGTTATGTAGTCACCTATCCTCATGGGACAGCAGGGGCACCAGGTAGAACAGTCTGTTACAGCAGACATGCTATGAGCTACTTACTCTGCGTGGTGTCTGCCCCACTGAGCAAGCCCACAAAGACAAGAGGGGAAAATAGGATTGTACCCACCAGCCAGGAAAGGAAGTTCCACCTGAAGAGAGGAAGAACTTCACTGTGTGAGTGACTGAGCACTGAACAGGTTGCCCAGAGAGGTGGTGGATTCTCCATCACTGGAGGTATTCAGGAACCATCTGGACACAACCCTGAGCCATGTGCTCTGGGATGGCCCTGCTGGAGTAGGGAGGTTGGACCGGGTGACCCACTGTGGTCCCTTCCAGCCTGACCGATCTTGTGATTCTGTGACTGGGAACACATGGAGAGTGTGAATTGGCTGTTTTCACATGGAGTCACTGTGGTCACTGACCTATGGTTTGCTTACACTCTTTATGTCTCTCTATCACATCTCTGGATGTTGGAATTTGAACTTAAATATTTGCAAAATTACAGGATTATGCTTCCAGTGCAGGTCGTTAGTAAAATCACATTACCAGCATAATTCAAGGCCTGCAGGGAGGAGATGAGACTATGAAACAGATGGATCAAGATGTATATTTCTTGCAAAGAAGTTTAATTTTGTGTTTGCTTGTTTGTTTCCAGGGAATTTCTTGCGGAGGAGGAGAACCTGGAAAATGTTTTGAACAAAGCTTTTCTAGAAATAGACAAAGCCTATGAAAGGCATGCTAATCTCTCTGCAGATGGTAGGTAAAAAATTATTCTACGCTTATGGGTGTGGAGAACAAAGTTTGTCTTACTTGCTCAGTAGTTTTGCAGTAAAATGTTCAGAAAAGTGGTTGAAAACAGTTTTACTTAACATAGGGTTTTGCTCTAATCACTTACTGCAAATGAAACAGTTATGCTTTTACCTCCTTAAAATGAAATATCTGCTGAAAGTCTCAGTCCAATTTACTGGGGGAGTTATGGGTCTGAATGTTAGCTTAATCATCAGTAAATTTATCTGAATTTGATCCAGTCAAGGACAGTGTTTTTCAAGGTAGCAAACAGTAATTTAGACTTGCAAGGGCCGTAACTTTACTGTGCAAGAGACCTGGAGGGCGGGTTGGGTTTGGATTTGTGGTTTTTGGGGGGACAAGGTTCGTGTTTTTATATTTTTGTTTGTTTGTTTTAAAGCTGTTATCCCTGTGCTTTAAAAACAGCAGTGTCAAAGTTCCCCTTTCTAACTTGGCTGCTGCACCCGAGGAGGAACATGAGCCAAAATTAATGCCAATAATATTGCTTCTGCACAAACAGAGTCACAGGAGTAGCTGAGTGTGAAAGGGAAAAGAGCAGTGAAGAGGAAAACAAGGCTGGCCGTGGTAAGGCTGTGGTAAAGCTGGCACCAGCCCTTTTAGGCTCTGTCACCCTGGCTGTTCATGAAGTTCTATATGTGTATAGAGACTAACTACATTTGAAGTTCCAGTAACTGGAGCTTACAGAGAGTAACTTGGGAAGGGAGATAGGGGTGCCCAGCCCAGTTCTGTCACAGGAGTGGCAATTTTGAGAGTCACTTTAGAGCCAATCTTACAAAAAACCCAAACAAACCCAATTAAAAACCCCACCAACAGCAACAAAACCCCCCAACAAACAAAAAGCCTGTCCCAGTGCTGGTGACTGAGGTTGTTCCAGAACAGAAACTTAGTCTTCTCCTCAAGACTGGAAACCCACAACCCCTCTAGGGCCTGAAGTGATACACTGTGTTCTCAAGCTGCTTTTCTTAAGCAGTGAATGAATACAAATCAAGTAATGGAGTGATTTCCTGCACTTCAACTGCTGGATTAATCTAGGCAGACTCAAATATTCCCTGGCAGGACAGGTAGCCTGACTGTTGCAGTGCTGTGAGGGATACACACCTTTCTTCTTCCTTGGTACAGGCTAAAGTACCAGGAGAAAAAAAGCCTAAAGTCCTGACAGACAGCTCTTAAAAAGAGGGATTAAATCTATAAAGTTCATTTTCCCACTGTATTTCATGTGGTTAAAAAGTTCAGAGTCGCTTTTGACCTATGGGGTGAATTTTAACTGAGCTCATGAGAGACATCAGTAGAGCAGATGTGCTTTTTATCCTTGCAAATATTTTCTTCACAGCCCAAATTCAAGACAGCACTTGAATACTAATTCATGTGCTTCTCCTGGATCAGAACCTTTCATTGTCACTGACATGAAGATCTGTTTGTCCCCCTCCTTGCCCCTTTGTGAGTAGACAGCTCTTGTTTTGGCTCATTGTGAAGTGTCAGAGTATCTCCTTGAGGAGGATTGAGAGCTGCACTTCATATGTTGTTCTGTTCTTCTGACCTGGGTTTCTAACTATAGTATTTCATATGTAAGACCTACGGACCTGGATTCTAACAATGTTTGACAGACAAGCTGTGCTGCAAGCTGAGCATTTTAGAACTGCTTATAGGATTTTTTCCATATCATTTAACTAACTGGTGCTGCTTAATGCCAGCAAACTTAAGCACTGGTTACCAGGATACTGGACAAGTCCTCTTCATTAAAACAGCCTGAGGTCAAGAGACACAGAGGGTAAAAGCTTTGTCACATCCACAGAGACCACACTCTGACCAGCACTCAGTGCTGCTCAAGTAGGCTGAGCACAAGCTCTTGCAGGAGCCTGTGGGGTCTAAAAGTGCCCAGTGGTCGTGGCTGAAGCTCTTAGGCAAAGAATGGAGCAATAAAGTGCAAAGACAAGTGCAGATTTCTGTACACGTCAAACCTTTTGCATACCTGCTGTTAGAATAATTCAAGACCTGTGTTGACTGCTTTGTGTGGATATTTTTGGTGTTGCTGATGTTGTTATTATATAATGTTTCAGTGCTCAGCAGGTATTTTTATGAGAAGCTTCCAAACTGAGCCAGTTTGCCAGCAAAATTTCTGATTCACTGTGGCTATTCTAGATGTGACAGTCAAGACAGTTGCTCAAATATCCTGAAGATGGTGCCTGGTTGTGTAACACTGTGTACCTGGGATACATTGGATGCTTGTCAGGACTGACTGCCTTTTGCAATCTGACCACAGCTGATGAAGTGGAAAATAATAGCTTAGTCTTCCTGTAGTAGATGACTCTTCCAGAGCTGACTCCTTTCACTGTATCTGCAAAAAAAAGCAGTGCATTTTCAGGATGTCTAGGTCATTACTAACACACAACAGCTTTGAGAGTGTGTACCTGGGTGTTTGAAGGAACCTAAGTCCTGGGACAAATCCTTGGAGCCAAAACTGCATGTTTGGGCATTTTTTATAGTACTATTTAAGGGGTAAAACTCTTACATCATGGCACTAATTTAACATGTCTTGTTGGAGCCCCCAACTCTGTCTTCAAGGTCATGGCCCTTTGTAGGTCACTTTAAAATGATAGAGTATTTGAAATGGCAGGTGGAAAATGCATAGAAGAATAGTTTATATGAGGTTTCGATAGTAATAAAGAAAGGTGTATGTATGTGTTACTGGTACTGTCACTGTGTTTGGCTTGCAGTTCACCAGTGCTGTTGGAGGGCCTGATGGAGGTGTCCTTGCCCAGGGCAGGGGTTGGGACTAGATGATCTGTAAGGTCCATTCCATTCCCTAAAATTCTATGATCTTAAAAGATGCATTTTCATTCTCTTTCATGCATTTAAACCTCTCCAGTCATTTTCAAATCACTGCTAAACTTAGGTACAGGACACAGCAGAGGAAGCTCACAGCCAACAGATGTCATGATCCATAGGCCAGCTGCCACAGATGGGTGGAATTTTCTAGTATTTTTGACCAGTCATGTTAACTGAACTGTAAAGCCTGAACAGCTTTGCTCAGCAAGGGCAGGAATAAGGAAGTGAATTATGTGCTTGAGGAAATTTGAGCATTTCCCTGGAGAAATGTAAGACAAACCCTCTCCTGGCCTAGTGCAGTGTTACAAGTTATTGCTTCTGTTCACTGTGAGCCTCTACCCAGAGGAAACATCAGAGAGTCTGTCCACTGATCTCCACATTCAGTGCATCCAACTCAGAACCCTTGGCCACTCACTTCTGGAATAGCCATTTGGTCAAACCTCTGCTAGGCATTAACTGGTGTATCTCTGTTTGAAAGGCACTTCTGGAATATTACTATGCTGAGCAAACAGCAAAAGTTATCTGACAATAACTAAAGTTTAAAAGTAGTGGGGTTTGATTTTTTTTTTAAAGTTACCATTTAAAAAAAGTGATTTTTATTTCTTTTCATATGTTAACCTGCAACACTGAGGAAAAGGGAGAGCTGCAGAAATAAGTTGTACTGAGAAGTTTCATAAATTCAACAACATTGCAAAGGAAGCGTTTTTGTCCAAGGGTCCTGATTATTACCTAATCAAGCAAGAAGACACTAATTACAAGGTTAAAGGGGTGTTTATTTTGCATATTTTCCCATGGGCCAGAAGAATTCACATACTTCTATTCAGTGCCTTTATGACAGCCCCAGTTCAGCTGGCACTGGTTTGGACACTGGTTTGGTGTCATACATAAATATATGCACATAAATAAATAAATTACCTTGGGGAAACATGTTCTGTACTCAGCATGTTCTTCAGAGTGGCCACTATTGCCCTGTATGAGACAGCTGGGCCTCTAGCTTTGAGAAAATTTTTTGGTTGATTGGCTGGTTACTTATCTTTACAAAGGGAAAAAAAGTGGCTTTTTTTTGGCTGAATATAAACTGGTTTTGTCACACAGCTTTAGCAAGAAGGTGAGAATGGTGGCAATTCCCAGGAATCCCAAGGCTGATTTGTCTGTGGCCAAAGATACATGTGCAAGCCTCAAGTGCTTCCTGCATGACCTGCACAAGACAGGGCAGGCAAACCCAGGAGTGACTACTCCCCTTCTTCTGCAGCTCTTGTCCTTTCATCCCCCGTGTTGCAGGTTTATTTTGCTTGAACAAAGTCCCTGGGTGAATTTCCTCTTTGCCTCTGTGTGCGTGTTATTTGTGGCAGACACTGTACGTGGTCAGCAGCTCTAGAACTGGAGGCCCTGGACACTATTTGCTGGGCTTCAGTGGAAAGAGAGATCTGCTTAATTTTGTCCCAGGTGAAGGAGTCCAGCGGTTCCTAGCCTGGACTACTGGAAGGTTCCCACATCCTCTTTGTCACATTAGTTGAGATGACTTGCAGTAGAAGTTGTCCAGTGAGTGTTAAGAACCTATTGAAAGATCTTAGTTTTATAGTGATATTGTTAGGAAAGCAAAATAAAACTCTTTAATTGTTAAAACCAATACATGTGCTGATGTAACCTGTTTTGATATCACTGAATAGCAGCAGTTGTAGTAAAGCATTAGAAATCTTATCCCATCATCATTCCTGTGGTTTTGAACTGTGCTAGAAATCACATAATGCTGCATTTAGCTGCTTCCATGTTCTTGCACCCCCACACAGAACAGGAACTGGTTCCAAGGAAGAGCATGAGCAGCATGTATTATTTTATAGGAGGCTATTTAACTAGTAAAGGTAAAAAGTTCAAGTCATTATGACCATTACCACAATTCTGGACAATATCTTGCCTTGTTCTTTAGTACCATCCCTTGACTTTGTGATAGCAGCTCTTTTCTTTGGGAGTTTGCCCTCTAAAGATGTAGATTCACCCAAATGTCTAAATATTTCCAGTCTTCTATGAACTAAAATGCTATAGATTTTAACTTTTTCAGAAACCAAGTTTCTTGGCATAGTTTTAAAACCTCAGAATGAAATGGGAAAGCAGCAGCAGTTCTGCATTAATTTTAATGCTGTAAAATAAAATGGTAGTTTTACACAGGTTCTTTATGCACTTAACTGGTGGCTAAAACAGGTATTTTACTGGCTCTACTAAAATTTCTAATCTCGCTGGTACTTGTTTGCCTCTTACTCTCATAATGTGCCTCTAAGGCACATTAGGCAACAGCCCAGTCCCTGCTTCAGCTGAGAAACAGGATGGCAGTGCTAACCTGAGCACTCAGCAGCTACTGGCACCGAGTTTTGACCTAGGTCACCATGGCTGATGCTCATGATTGACTGTGCAGCTAAACAAAGTCCTCCCTGCAGTAATAATACCTGTTTTAAACGAGAACACAAGCTTAGTTAACACTGTTTCAGGAGGGGATTTCTGCTTCATCCAGTCACTGCTTTCAATGCACAACAAGGCTCAATGCATCTGTCAGGGCTTTGCTTTGGTTCACTCCCAGCCCTGTTTTACTTCCAGCGTGCTGAGACCTCACAGGGTGGGGGAAAGAAGTTGTCAAGAGCCCAGAGCACTTAGATTTCTGTGGCTGTAGCTTGCAGGGGGTTGTTGCTGCCTGTTTGCTGGGCAGAGAGGAGGCTGCCTGGCATTCCTTGGCATCAAATGTCCTGTCTGCAGTCCCTCCCAGGGGTCGGGGCTGCAGAGCCAGAAGCAGGAGCACATGTAGTTGTAGCTGAGCTCTGCAGTGGTGGAAAGAGACTTAGTGACATGAAAACAGGAGTATAACTGGGGGTTCTCTTTCGCTAAGCAAGTCCCAACCTCATCTCAGATTGGCTTGCTTTGAAAAACTGGAAGAACTGGAAAAGCCCAGAATGCAGGTGACCTACAGAGCCTTCCAAGGGGATTTGCAAGGCTGGGAATGCAAATGTGTCCGGGAAATAGATTGTCCTGGCCAAGACTGTAACTGTAATAGCTCAAGTCAGCAGGAGTTGCTGCTTTCCAGGCAGCAACTGCAAAGGAGAATTTCCAGGAAGGGAAGGTACCAACTGTAAACTGGGATTTGCCCTTTCAAAAAGCAAGAAAGGGAAAGCTGGGCAGTTCTTCCCACATTTTCTTCATTGCAGAGAAAACTAAAGATCTTTTCTATAATACTGCATTTCTTCTTGCAATTTACTTGCGTGAGTTAATCTAGCCAGGTCCCCGAGCACCATCAGCCAGCTCAGCTCCCTCCCTTACCCTGTAAGAGAGGGAGAACAGTGCCAAGGGCTCTGCTTTGCCCTCTGGGCAGTCCCTGTACACCCTGTCAAGTGGTCCCAGCAGTGCCCCAGGCTGGTTGCCCGTTCAGCCACTGCCATCTGACCGCATCAGTTTGCAGGCAGAAGGCAAGGCAGAACCTCAGAATCCAACTGCACCTTTGCACTGGCACCTCCAGTAAGCTGAGAGGATCTCAAGGGAGCAGTGTCCCTTTTCTGAAAAAAGCCAGTGGCCTGTTGGCTGAACCCTTCTTCCCTTGGCAAGGCTGGGGGAAGCAAAGCGGGAGTATGACAGCCCTGACAGTTCCACAGACTGGTGTAAAGGAGTGATCTATTGCTTCTCTTCTGGTGATCGACATGGAACTACAGTTACTATTACTCAATTGCCCTCTACATCACCCAACACAAGGGAGAGCCAACACCTTTTGGTGACCTACCTGTGCAGTCACAGGGATAAGGACAATAATGTTGTCACTCAAGGTGAGCTAGTGGGACAGAAAAACGCTTTGCTACAAGCTGTAAGGAAGACTCTACACCCTGTACTGAAAACCTACCTGACAGGAGGTTGGAGTCAGGTGGGGGTTGGTCTCTTCTCCCAGGCAACCAGCAGCAGGACAAGAGGGCACAGACTCAAGCTCTGCCAGGGGAGGGTTAGGTTGGAGATTAGGAAGAGATTTTTTACAGAGAGAGTGCTCAGACATTGGAATGTGCTGCCCAGGGAGGTGGTGGATTCACCATCCCTGGAGGTTTTCAAGCTGAGACTGGATGTGGCACTTAGTGCCATGGTCTAGTGACCACGGTAGGGTTGGACTTGATGATCTTGGAGGTCTTTTCCCACCCAGTTGATTCTATGATTCCACTTGCCCTGTTTGCATGGAGCCATGTTGTTGCACAGAAACACTTAGCCTTTCCACTTCCCCTCTCTCCCCCCAGTCCTACCTGCATGCATGTTTGCTCTATTATTTCATTTCTTTTAGTGTGTAGAATTAGTTTAAACTTAAAAGCAGTTACTGGTTACATAGAGCCCGAGTTGTGTTCATTTTAACAATTGAAACTGTTGCTGTTGTAATTGGTTCCACACTCTGAGTCAGTGCTAAAACCTTTCTCTTTCATATGATGTTTATAGCAACTCTGCTGAACTCTGGGACCACTGCAACAGTGGCTCTGCTCCGGGATGGCATTGAGCTGGTGGTGGCAAGTGTGGGAGACAGTCGTGCTCTGCTCTGTCGAAAAGGAAAGGCCATGAAACTCACCATTGACCATACTCCAGAAAGAAAGGAGGAGAAGGAGAGGTACCTGCTGGCTGGAGATGTGGCTTTCCAGAGCTCAGCCTTAGTCAGGATGGGCTTGTGTTCTGCTGCTGGGTTGGGCCAGGAAGAAAATAGAGTTTAACACAGTGCCCTGACACCACCTCTGAGCTGGGAGTGAGCAGCACAGCTCCAGTTAATTAATTGGCTTCATTTAGAGGACCAGGGATGTGGAAAGCCCTCCATGAGTGTAAACTGTCTCAGCAGTAAGATCAGCATAACTAAGGTTCAGTACAGAGCCATGACTTCATGGTTCAGACTTGTCCCAGGCTGCCAAGTTAGAACCGAGAGCTGAAGAAATGCACTGTGGTTCCCAGGTCAGGACTCAGCCCACCAAGACACATCATTTCTGTGGAGCCCTTCAAACAGCTAAGCCAACCCTCACTCTCCAGTCTTAGGCTCTCCATACCTCACTCCCCACTGTAGCTAGTGACAGAATTTGTGCCTAGAGACAGGGGTAATGGTGGGAAACAGTAACTCGTACTCACTTTTGCTTTTGTGTCTCTGGGCAGGATTAAGAAGTGTGGTGGCTTCGTTTCCTGGAACAGTTTGGGACAACCTCATGTGAATGGTAGACTTGCAATGACACGGAGCATAGGAGATTTGGATCTTAAAAACAGTGGTGTGATAGCTCAGCCAGAAACAAAAAGGATTCAGGTAAAAGAAGGTCTGGTTAACAGGGTCAGCAACATTCAGACCGAGGGGCATCATAGGTATTTGATGCAGATGGTGGTACCCACATGGCACAAGCCTAGGGGAAGCCTGATGACCACATGTTGGTTCTAGTTGAAGCAATTCTAATTAGGTTGTTTCAGATTAACACTAACAGGACAGCAAAGAATCTAGTACTAAATTCAGCCAGATCAGCTTCTAAATCCCATTTCTCACAGTAAAATCATAGAATTTTTAGGGGTTGGAATGGACCTTAGAGATGATCCAGCCCCAACCCCTGCCCTGGGCAGGGACACCTCCCACCAGAGCAGATGGCTCGAGGCTCAGCCAACCTGGCTGTGAGCACTGCCAGGGTTGGGGCAGCCACAGCCTCCCTGGGCAACCTGGGCCAGGGTCTCACCACCCTCACAGGGAAAACTTCTGCCTAACATCTAACCTAAATTTCCCTCCTTCAATTTGTCCCCATTGCCCCTTGTCCTGTCCCTGCAGCTCCTAACACAGATCCCTCTGCAGCTTCCCTGGAGCCCCTTCACATACTCAAAGGCTGCAATGAGGGAAGAAAAATAACACATGATATCTGTTACTGAAATACAGAGGTGTTAGTCTCCTTGGATCTTGTTGTCAAATGAATAATTTTGAGGTTAATGCTAGTATAAAACCATCAGTGAGAACCAGGTGGGATATGGATGGGCTGTCATCCAAAAGAGTAGGATATGTAGAGGTTTGCCCACTTGAGAGGAAAGGGGGAGGAGGAAAGAGCAGCATCTTACCATAGCTCTGTGGTTGTCCAGAAAACACATTAACCACCCAGAAGGTATTGAGGTTGCCTTCACTTTGGCAGGAAGGGTCTTTTCTCAGCTCACATTCTGATTGTTACTTTTCCCCAATGCAGGACATCATTGGGACCAAATTCAGTTGGTCCTAATAAAATGCAATGGGCACGAGAGGTTTAGGGAGATGGCTGCAGCACTGCCATGTCTTCCTTGAAATACTCAGTTTAATTAAAAATTTTGCTTACTGGATAATGTATGGATCTGGTTTTGGCTTCCTAGAACTGGAAGCACCTTGAGATGCTCTTTTCCAGTGTAGTGAACATAGTCTGTGTGACTGATGGATGAGCTGGAGGACTGAAGGGGCAGCCAAGGCTGGGGGTTCCAGTTAGTCCTTGCACAGAAAGCAGGAGAGCACCCAGCACCCCCAGAAAAGGTGTAAAGCAGGAAGGAAGTTACTTTGCCTTGCAGCACTCAACCCTTTGGTGTGTTCTGTGTGCCTTTGTTGCAGCTGCATCACGCACACGACAGCTTCCTGGTCCTTACCACAGATGGGATTAACTTCATCGTGAACAGTCAGGAGATCTGTGACTTCATCAACCAGTGCCATGACCCTGCTGAAGCTGCCCACTTTGTTACTGAGCAGGTAATGCCAGAGCTGCTCTTGGCACCAAATGCTTGTTGGGTTGGGTTTGTTTAAAGAAGAAACACAGGTATAGAACTACACATTCAAGTGAATTGGACTGTGCTGGCTGAGACATTCACTGGTCCCACTGGCAGACCTTCTCCTTTCTCTGTGTCTTGCCACATCCTTGCCAGGCATCAGCTCAGTTGACTTGCTTAGCCTGTGATCCACTGAACAGCATGAACTGCAGCTTATTCCTGTGCTGAGCATGTCATCAGCACAGACAGAAATGGCATTTCTCACTGTGGTGCTGGATGGTGCTATATCCTAGGGAAAGCTCTGGATCATACCGGAATGGAGCGTCAGGGCTGAGAAGGTGCAGGAACTCTTGGGCCTCAGGGCATGCTGTGTGCCAGGCGCTTGTTTCCTTTTCCTGGCAAGATGCTGATCATTTGTCTCCTCTCTCAGGCAGTGCAGTTTGGCACTGAAGACAACAGCACAGTTGTCATAGTGCCATTTGGAGCATGGGGCAAATACAAGAACGGTGAGATCAACACCTCCTTCAGCCGCAGTTTCGCTTCCAGCGGGAGGTGGGCGTGAAGACCTGGCACAGCAACCTTTCCCTGCCATCATCTGGACACAGCCTGCTACAGGAGAACACATCCATCAGTGTCTTGTCCATCTGTCTGTTCCCAGTGTTAGAGAAGGTGCCACCACTCCCTTGGTAACGCCCCGTTGTCGCTTACGGCTGACCTTCCTCTGCTGCTTGCGTCTGTTCAGTCAGCACTGAGGCAGCTGGTGGAGTTTGTAGTCCCAGCAGCTCTGCACATCCCTTTGGTCACACAGACAAGGTTCTGGGCTGGTGGGGTTGCCTGGCAGCTGTGTAACCCGGAGGCTCTGAGCCACACGTTGGCTCTGCTGGGTGTTGTACATGGGGGAAAAACGCACAACGTCCTTAGGTAGGCAGAAAAGCAGGTTTGTGGTCTTCCTCTGCTGCAGCCACCCCAAACTCCCCTGTGCTTCAGGAGAAGTGGGTGGAAAAATAAGGGAGAAGTTTCAGAAGTGTTTAGCTTCTGATACCAGTGGCATTCGGTGTAGCTGTCCAAGTTCCTGAGACAGTGCTGCTGTGCAGGGCTTCATGCTCTCACCGTCCATCATCCTCCTGCTCCGAAGAGACACACCAAGCTGGAGCCACGTGCTGTTGGACAGATGGGAACCTTTCTCCATTGGGTCCACAGCCTGTGTGGTCTCTGTGGACCATGCAGAGCCCTTTGCACTGTCTTCTCTTTGGTGTGTCAGTGCTTGCCAGGAGCACAGAAGAGGGAAAAGACGCACAGTTTTGATATCCAGAGACTGTCATCGACTTGAATTTTTTTTCCTTTTTTTAAATAAAACCAGCTAATTTCAAAGAGTTTGCTAGTCAAGATTCTTTGGATGCGTAAGACAGTTTGTTTCTTCGTAAATACTTGAGGATTTTCCTGCCCTCTGCTGAAGATAAAGCTTGTTGTGATCTCCCACAGTCTGAACTTCTTGTGATCTCCCAGATCTCTTCATGGACACATGTAAAATGCCCCAAGCAAGCTAGAGAAAGAAGAGAGCATTATAATAATGCAAGGTAATTTTTATACGTTTTGGGTATTGTTTCTAATAGGTGTCAGATATCCAGACACCAGAAGGTAGTTTTATACTTAAAGGAAATGTTTCCACTTCCCTTCTCGGGGGAGTCTGTGCCTGGTGAGGCATGGGGGGACCAGAGCCCTAAGCCAGGTGTGGTGCTGCTGTGCCATGGGCTGCAGCTGATGTGTTGGCAGCAGCTGAAGATCTGTGCCTCACTCAGACCTCCTCCTTGCTCTGTTCCACATCAGGTGTGCAGCTCCTGTGGCCTCACCTGTCACAATGAAATGTGGGCAGAGAAGAGTTGGTCTTTTCTAGGCTTTCAACAGTGTTTTTCATTCTATGGCTGTTTCCAACAGCACAACTGGAAAACAAAACAAAATGAAAGAGGAGTTGCCTGATACTAAATCACCTTGCCAAAATAATTTCTGAGGTGCCTGGCCTGACACTCCTTTTCCAGGGTAAAGGATGTATCTCCATTACTTTTATCCCTTTTGTTTCAGTCTAGGATTATCCCTTGGGCAGTCATTCCACATGTTTCTCCTTGCCTCTGGTTGAGCAGTGTTGTACTGACAGCTGTTAGGTGTTTAGAGGGTGCTGGTTTTGTCCCATCACTTGGTGATTACATATCATGTAAATATTTGGTGTGTGAGTGCAGAGAGCTTGTGAGCTGCTGTGTGTAAATCCCTGTGGCACTGGATGCTGGTGCCCAGGCCTCTGTAATGAGCACACCACTGGTTTTACAATCATGATCCCTTCTCTCCCCTCAGCTTTTCCCCAGGATTGGGGTTGGGTGTTCACCTGAGGTCAGAATGGTTGCTGTCCTGGGTTCAGCCTTGCTTACCTGAGGCAAGGAGGTATTTTTAGTTGTTACCAGCAGGTTCTCCTGCTGCAGCAAGTTTGAAAATTCCTAAACCCATTTGTTGCAAAAAATAGCCACAAACCCAGAGTCTCTCCCAAGGAGAGGAAGATGCATCTGGCAGAGGTTCAGAGAGCTGTACTGGAGGATGGTGGTGACTGGTTTGCACTGCAGCATGAACCTCTGACAGCTTTTCTCCTGCCAAAAAACTTACCTGATCAAACAGCAAGTCTGATGGTTCCTAGCAAAGGGTTAACCACAGCAGCTACTCCAGGCACGTGGAATGGTTGGAGTGAACCTCTACGGAGGGAGTTGCTGTGGGAGTGGCTTTGGTATCAAGTGTCAGACTCGCTTGAGGGGCACTGCAGGGGTTTGGACAAGCTCCAGCGACATTATGTGTTCCAAATGCTGCTCATTTCTGTTTGGCCATCTATCCAGACACGAGATAGCAAGAGCTGGGGCTGTTCCTAACAAGTAAACACTGACTTTGTTGGGCGTATTTGGAGCTGTGTTGAATACTTGCCAGGCTGAACACATAACATTAAATGCAGGCTGCTAATGAAACACACTGCAAATAAGAGCAGGTGCTTGGAGGAATGACCTAGAGGATCTTCTAAACAAATTGAAGGAGAGGAAATTTAGGTTAGATCTTAGGAAAAGGTTTTTTCCTGTGAGGGTGGTGAGACCCTGTCCCAGGTTGCCCAGGGAGGCTGTGGCTGCCCCAACCCTGGCAGTGTTCACAGCCAGGTTGGCTGAGCCTTGAGCAGCCTGCTCTGGTGGGAGGTGTCCCTGCCCAGGGCAGGGGTTGGGGCTGGGGCTGGGTGATCTCTAAGCTCCATTCCAACCCTTAAAATTCTATGATTCTAAGCATTGACCCAGATGTAGCATGAAATGAGAGGTTTTTTCTTCTCATTGGAGGTTTTCGGGGATTTTTTTTGTTTATCCCTATGTGGTTGTCTGATTGCATAGAGAACAAAAGTTGTACAATCACAGAAGAACTTAGCTTGGGAAGGACTTCTGGGGCTCACCCCAGAACTGTGCTGCAGTGGAGGGATGTCTCCTGCCAGGGCAGTGCAGTGCCTGGAAATGCATGGGAGAATGGATTGCAGGGTGGCTTACCTGGGAACCATTTGGCTGTATTCAAGCCAAAAACTTACCAGCATTTAACACGCACTTGGTATAACTGCTGACAAATGTCACAGATAAATTCACACAGACATCAAACTAAGATAAAAGCTCTTTTGCTCTAAGCAGAAGCAAATTGATAACAGACAGGAGGTTACAGAGATGCATTTCTCACACAGAGGTTATCCCTACCTGTTCACTCTAGTTTCCTGCATCTCATTCTGGTGTAAATGAGCTACTGCTGAAGATTAAACACTTTGCCAGTGGCTCAGGAGTCTGCCTGTTCCTCCCCCCATGAAGAACAGAGGGACCTTCACACTGGTTTGTGTGAATCCCTCACTTCATGCTGCACATGGCAAGACTCTGAGTTCCAGGTGGAAAAAGCACAGCCTTTGGAAGAAACAACCCATTTCCAGGGCCATTGGTATCTGCATCCAGAACCACAACACTGCTTTTTCCTGAGAAGATGACAGTGAACTCCCCTAACACCCTAACTCACTCTCCTCCTCTTTCCCCTTAGCTTTTATTGCTGAGAAGATATCAGATGGTATGGAATAATAACCCTTTGGTCATTTTGGGACAGCTGTCTCCATCCTCCTGCATTACACACCAAGTGCACCCAGATCCTTGAGCAGAGACAATCCTAAACATGAGTATAGGTGACAGGGTTGTTTGCCTGTTCAGGTGTAAAGTCCCAGGCTATTAGAGGTGATTCCTGTCCTAGGAACCTGCTCAAATCCTTCCAACACACTCTGCCACCCAGGGAACAGCTGCCTCAGGGCACACCTCAGTATTGCCTCGGGTAAAAATCTTGTCTTACACCGTGATGACACCAGATTCCACCAACACCATAACATGCCCACAGTGCTAATTAGTAGTATTAACAGCTCACCTAAGGTTGAAGAAACACCTATGGAACTTGCATAGTCATCCACCTCAATCCCCTGAGTAGGGAGAGGGAGATGTTTTCTCTCATCCTCTTGTGGAGATAAGGTAGCTCCTGCAGCACAGCAAAGGCATCAATGCCAGGACAAAGCCCAGAGCCTTTTTTTGTGCTAATGTCTTGCCAAGTTCAGCAAAATAGAGAAGCAGCACAGCCAACGAACTCTGTGACCCACACAGGAGCTTGGGCACTCCATACCTGCCATAGCTGTAGCTTGATGCCAAGCTGCCACTGTCTCGTGCAGGTGCCAAAAAGGACCATGGAGTGTTGACTTTGGCTGGACATCGGGTGCTTACCAAGCTGCTCTGGTACTCTGTCCTCAGCAGGATGGGGAGAGAACATAAAATGGGGGAAAAGAAATTGGTCAAGATAAAGGCAGTTCAATAAAGTGGATTAAATAAAGATTTATTCTCTGCTTCCTATGAGCTGGTGATGCCCAGCCACGTCCTGGGATCATGGAATCATGGAATTTTAGGGGTTGGAACAGACCTTAGAGCTCATCCAGTCCCAACCCCCTGGACACCCCAGGGACTGGCAAAATTCTCCTGCACAGCTGAGCTCCTTTCTACTTAAGGACAGAGAGCAAATTGTCCTAACAACAGCAGCTGCATCTCATAGAGGTTTATTATTGAAGGATCTCACAGTAGGAATGAAATGAAATGGAATCTGTTTGCTCTCTAGCTTCCCTGACTTTCCTGTGCATCTGATGTTTCAGCAAAAGAATGGTGTTTTTTTATTACAGACATTAAAGGTGAACTACTGAGCAAACTGTAACAAGGCTTTGCTTTTTTCCTACCTTTCAGGGGATGAATTATGAAGTCTGTTGGACCTGGTAAGAGTGTTTTCTTGCTAAACACTCCCCCTGGAGCAGTGGAATCTCTCACTGTCCAGGCACTGCAGGAGGGTGAGCTGTGGGGGCAGAAATGCAACAAATGCTGTCCAGTTAGCTACTCAGTTTTACTGTAAGGTTATGTATGGGAGGCATGAGGGGACCTCGTGTTGCTGGAGGATTTACTAGGGGAGGTGTTGAGGCTGCAGCTGGAGTTCCAGCTTAGTCTTCCCACCACAAGAAACTGAAATGGAGAGGAGATCCAGGAGCAATTTGTGGTTGGGAAATGGGGTGTGGAGAGAAATCAGCAATATCACTGCTAGTTACATTCTTGGGGGAAAACAAACTGTGAGGAGTTTCTTCTGCTGAGTTTCAGAGGATCAGGGTATCAG